CTGAACATGAGGAAGAACTTCCTGACTGTGAGAGCCGTTCAGCAGTGGAACTCTCTGCCCCGGAGTGTGGTGGAGGTTCCTTCTTTGGAAGCTTTTAAGCAGAGGCTGGATGGCCATCTGTCAGGGGTGCTTTGAATGCAATTTTCCTGCTTCTTGGCAGAATGGGGTTGGACTGGATGGCCCACGAGGTCTCTTCCAACTCTTATGATTCGACATTGTTGCCACTATATATTGATTTTGTGCCCTGCGTTTGGTATGTTTTTATATCTTGTCTTTACTAATAATATAATACAGTATATTGTATATATAATATTTATAAAAATATAATGTAATACAATATAATACTAGTAATAATAATACAATATTATAATTTTATATTTACATTCCATGTAATATTACTAATAATATTACAATATAATGGTATAGTGCAATATAGTAATATATAATACTGATATTGTACTATGCTAATAATTTATTGTATGAAAATATATATTGTAAGCTGCATACATATAATATTTATAAAATTATAATGTAATACAACATAATACTACTAATAATACAATATTATAATTAAAATTATATATTTACATTTCATGTAATATTACTAATAATATTACAATATAATGGTATTGTGCAATCTAGTAATATATAATACTGATATTGTACTATGCTAATAATATAATATATTGTATGAAAATATATATTGTAAGCTGCTTTGAGTCCCCTTCGGGGTGAGAAGGGTGGCATATAAAAGCCGTAAATAAATAAATAAATAAAAATAATGATGTGCTATGTATTTTATTGGGCGTATTTTATGTTCAAATGTTTTGTCTCTTTGAACCATTATTATTATTATTATTAATAATAACCATAATCAGTGATTGGCACACTGGGTGCAGTGCCAAAAGACCTTGGCCTGCACTTAAACACAATCGGGGCTGAGAAAATTACCATCTGTCAGCTGCAAAAGGCCACCCTACTGGGATCTGAACGCATTATTTGCCGAAGCATCTTACGAGTGATACAATACAAAAGCTAGCAGAGTGATCTTGTTTGCTGTGTACTAATCTTGTTATGTATCAAATAATGATGGGGATGATGATGAGTGATCGGCATACTGGGTGCAACACCTAAAGACCTCGGCCTGCACTTAAAAAACACTTGGGACGTGTCTGACGTGTGATCCAATACAACAGCCAGGAGGGTGACCTTGTTTGTTGTGTACTAATCTTGTTGTGTTTCAAATAATAATAATAATAATAATTATTATTATTATTTTATTTCTTACCCAATTCTCGATGCGGGTTATGTGCTTAAACACGTAATCAAAACACATAATTAGGAGGCATGTTCCTATTAAAATTCATCATCATCATTATTATTATTGTTTAAGGTCTTTAGGCACTGCACCCAGTGTGCCCATCACCACTGGGACCACCTTGACTGGCTTTTGTGCCAGAGTCTTTGCAGTTCGATCTTTAAATCCTTGTATCATGTCAGCTTTTCCAGTTGTTTCTCTTCAATCCTGCTGTCACCTGGGATTGCGACATCAATGATCCATACTTTGTTTTTTAACATGATCCTGAGGTCAGGAGCATTGTTCTTTCTGTAACTTGTGATCCCACCAGTTCTTTGTCGCAGGCAGATGGTATTTGTGGCACAAGTTCCAATGAATCATCTGTGCAACGATGTTGTGCCTCTGTTTGTAGTCTCTCTGCGCAATCTTTTTGCAGCAGCTGAGGGTGGGATCTATTGTTTCATCTGCTTCCTTGCAGAGTCTACACTTGGGATCTGTTGTTGACTTTTCAATTCTGGCTTTGATGGCATTGGTTCGAATGGCTTGTTCTTGGGCTGCCAGAATCAGGCCCTCCTTTGTCTCCTTTTTCAGAGTCCCATTTGTGAGCCACAGCCATGTTTTTTGTCAATTTGGCTCTCAATTTTTCCCAGGATCTATCCTTAGAGAGCCTTCTTTTGCCAGATTTCTCTTCTACTCTGGATTGTGTTGTTATTATTATTATTATTATTACAGACCCAAGAAGGAAAAAAAGGATGACCCAAACAACTACCGTCCGGTCAGCCTCACGTCGATACCGGGCAAGATTCTGGAAAAGATTGTTAAGGAAGCGGTCTGCAAACACTTAGAAACAAATGCAGTCATCGCTAATAGTCAACATGGATTTATCAAAAACAAGTCATGCCAGACTAATCTGATCTCTTTTTTCGATAGAGTTACAAGCTGGGTAGATGCGGGGAATGCCGTGGATGTAGCGTACCTGGATTTCAGGAAGGCCTTCAACAAGGTCCCCCATGACCTTCTGGCAAGGAAACTAGTCCAATGTGGGCTAGGCAAAACTACGGTGAGGTGGATCTGTAATTGGTTAAATGGACAAACCCAGAGGGTGCTCACCAATGCTTCCTCTTCATCCTGGAAAGAAGTGACCAGTGGAGTGCCGCAGGGTTCCGTCCTGGGCCCGGTCCTGTTCAACATCTTTATTAATGACTTAGATGAAGGGCTAGAAGGCATGATCATCAAGTTTGCAGACGACACCAAATTGGGAGGGATAGCCAATAGTCCAGAGGACAGGAGCAGCATTCAAAACGATCTTGACAGATTAGAGAGATGGGCCAAAACTAACAAAATGAAGTTCAACAGTGACAAATGCAAGATACTCCACTTTGGCAGAAAAAATGAAATGCAAAGATACAGAATGGGGGAGCCTGGCTCGAGAGCAGTACGTGTGAAAAAGATCTTGGAGTCCTCGTGGACAACAAGTTAACATGAGCCAACAATGTGATGTGGCGGCAAAAAAAGCCAATGGGATTTTGGCCTGCATCAATAGGAGCATAGTGTCTAGATCTAAGGAAGTAATGCTACCCCTCTATTCTGCTTTGGTTAGACCACATCTGGAATATTGTGTCCAATTCAGGGCACCACAATTCAAGAGAGATATTGACAAGCTGGAATGTGTCCAGAGGAGGGCGACTAAAATGATCAAGGGTCTGGAGAACAAGCCCTATGAGGAGCGGCTTAAGGAGCTGGGCATGTTTAGCCTGAAGAAGAGAAGGCTGAGAGGAGATATGATAGCCATGTATAAATATGTGAGAGGAAGCCACAGGGAGGAGGGAGCAAGCTTGTTTTCTGCTTCCTTGGAGACTAGGACGCAAGGGAACAATGGCTTCAAACTACAAGAGAGGAGATTCCATCTGAACATTAGGAAGAACTTGACTGTGAGAGCCGTTCAGCAGTGGAACTCTCTGCCCCGGAGTGTGGTGGAGGCTCCTTCTTTGGAAGCTTTTAAGCAGAGGCTGGATGGCCATTTGTCAGGGGTGATTTGAATGCAATATTCCTGCTTCTTGGCAGGGGGTTGGACTGGATGGCCCATGAGGTCTCTTCCAACTCTTTGATTCTATGATTCTATGGAAGACTGTAGAACAGAGTTTCTCATCCTGGGGGTCAGGAACCGTAGCCAGAAAAAAATTTCGGGGAGGGTTGAAAATTTCGGGGGGGGGGGGTTGAAACCTGCCTCCTAGCTCACGCTGAAGCAAAGAGCACAGCAGGGAGCAGAGCAGCCTTCAATAGCCTGCAGCTCTGCCCCTGTCAACCACCTCCACCAAGTCTGGCCTCCTTAATGAGAGCATTCAACCCCCCCCCCCCCCCAACTTGGTTGCTTCACTACATCGGCTATTGCTGCAAGTAATGACAGTTCGCACAATTAAAACTTGTGTGCCAGCTGCGCCTGTACCTTAGGAAGTCAGACTTCGCCATGGTGGCCCACGCTCTTGTTACATCTAGAATAGACTACTGCAATGCACTCTATGTGGGTTTGCCTGTGAAGACTGCTCAGAAGCTTCAAATAGTACAATGAGAGGCAGGGAGCATACAACTGTTGCGCCAGCTCCACTGGCTGCCAGTTTGCTACCGGGCACAATTCAAAGTGCTGGCGTTAGCCTATAAAGCCCTAAACGGTTCTGGCCCTACTTACCTCTCCGAACGCATCTCCTCCTATGAACCAGTTACGACACTAAGATCATCTGGGGAGGCCCTGTTCTCAGTCCCGCCTGCATCACAGGCACACTTGGCAGGGACGAGAGACAGGGCCTTCTCAGTGGTGGCCGCTCGGCTGTGAAACGCCCTGCCTGCAGATATCAGATTGGCCCCCTCCCTGCTGGCGTTTCGGAGGAAAGTGAAGACCTGGCTGTTCGAACAAGCATTGGATTAAACAGTGTAATTGAACATAGGAATACGGAGTAATGGATGATGAGACTGGATTCTGATTTTACTGTTGAGACGCTAATGATTGTTATTCTGATGTTTAATGATTATGTTACAATTGTTTTTAATTGCCCTTTACTTGTCTCGTGGTGTTTTGTATCGATGTTGTTCACCGCTTTGAGTCGCCTGAGGGCTGAGAAAAGTGGTATATAAACAAACTTGCAGAGACTAACTAAAAATGGCTCCCTTCCCTTCCCAATTGCCCTGAGCAAGGGGCGAGACCAAAACTTAACAATGATGGACAGGTGACTTGCCCTATGACTGCAACCAAAGAAGCCACCTATCTGCAGAGTCCCTGAAACCTAGGACTGCAAGCAAACATTTAATACAAAGCAAATAAAGTTGGAGCTCCTGGTACAGCTGTACCAGAACAACTACATCGGCTATTGCTGCAAGTAATGACAGTGTGAATAAATTGTCAATATTTGCTTGAGATAGTGCTTGCAGTTCTGGAGGGACTCTTAATTTTTTGCGTCTCATTGACTTAGCATGGGGATTTGGTTAACCAGTTAAAATTCATGAGTAAACCAGGTTTTTTTTAACCTGAAAAATTGGGGGGGGGGGTTTGAACCCCTAACCCCCCCCCCCGCGCCAACAGGCCTGCACGGTACTGAACTTAACTTCTACAGACAGTTCTGAATGAAGACTGCATAGTCATAGGCTTTGGAAAAGGCCAATGCCCACCCTTATTCTTCATACCACCCCATCCTTTCAAAGAGCAGCGACATCTAGGAACCAAAATTTATTACCGTACTTAAAATATTTATCCAGTGTTTTTTTGTGTGACTGGGATTCCATTTAACTGACCAAATCAAACACCAAGCCACTCTTGAAAATCCCATCACCAGCAAGGGGTAGAAGGAAGCGTAGCAGTCTGTAGTGGTTTTCCAATCATCCTCCGCAACCCATGGCTTTTAAGATGGCCAGTGCTATCTTGGTTGGCAATGAAATGTTGAGTCCATTTTGAGCGTTCCACCAAAACAAAAGGGAAATTCCCCCTGAAAGGGATCCAATGAGATGGCACTGGCTCAGAGCGAGGAAGAGTTCATTGAAGACCACGGTTCACCTTGGACACCCCTGGAGGAATCAAGACGAGAGCCCGGCAGAGAGATCCATTCGTTCCCTTTACCCCAGAATCGAAGCTGCCTGTCCGCTCACTCAATGAGTTTTTTAGCCTTGAAGAAACGCCGAAGGTAGAAGACTTGCCAAGTGGCCAGACCCACCAGGCAGAGCATGGAGAAGATGCTGAAGTAGAAAACACGGGCGCTGGTGGACTCTGCAGAGAGAAAGAACAACACACATGGAAGACTTGCCATAGAATTCATTGTACTCTGGAACTTGGATTGATTACCAGAGTTGTGTGGTGGGAAAGAACCCCAAAGGCCATCCAGAACCACCCCCTTTCTGCAATTCAAGATGGTTTGTTGTTTGTTTACAGTATTTATATTCCACTCTTCTCATCCCGCAAGGGACTCAGGGTGGATTACAATGTACATATACATGGCAAACATCCAATGCCATAGACACACAACATATATGGACAGACACACAGAGGCTATTTAACCTTCCAGCTTTTTCATGAGGGTATTCTGGCCACTAGGGGAGCTGTCGCTTCACCGTCCATTTGTGACACTGATGAAATACTTCCTCATTACCTCACTACCTCTGAGGATGCTTGCCATAGATGCAGGCGAAACGTCAGGAGAAAATGCCTTTAGAACATGGCCATATAACCCGAAAAAACCTATAACAACCCAGTGATTCCGGCCATGAAAGCCCTCGACAATACTTCCTCATTCTTTCATGCTTGCTGGAGATTTTTATGGTATCATAAATTAGCCTCCTCGCATGATGACACAATCAAAGCACATCATCATCATCATCATCATCATCACCACCACAATCACAGAATCATAGAGTCAGAAGAGACATCATGGCCCATCCGGTCCAATCCCCTGCCAATAATAATAATAATAATAATAATAATAATAATAATAATAATAATCTATATAAATAAAAATGTAGTGTTTGTTTGTGGGATTAACATAACTCAAAAACCACTGGACGAACTGACACCAAATTTGGACAGAATATCCTTAACAACCCAATAAATGACCATCACTTCAAATGATTGATTTTGTCATTTGGAAGTTGTAGTTGCTGGGATTTATAGTTCACCTACAATCAAAGAGCATCCTGAATTCCATCAACGATGGGATTGAACCAAATGTGGCACACAGGACTCCCATAAACAACAGAAAACACTAGAAGGGTTTGGTGGGCATTGACCTTGAGTTTGGGAGTTATAGTTCATCTACATCCAGAGAGCACTATGGACTCAAACAATGATGGGTCTGGACCAAACTTGGCACGAATATTCCAAATATGAACACAGATGGAGTTTGGGAGACATAGACCTTGACATTTGGGAGTTGTAGTTACTGGGATTTATAGTTCAGCTACAATCAAAGAGCACTCTGAAACCCACCAACAACAAAATTGGGGCAGATTTCCCACACAGAACCCCCGTGACCAACAGAAAATACTTAAGGCCATCCACTCCACCTCCCTTCATCAGGGCAAGAAAACATAATCAAAGGCCTCCAGCCATAAATATAAATAGATATATATATGATTCACACACACACACACAGATATAGTATCATAGATTGGATGGCTCTTAGGGATCGCCTAACTGCTCCCTTCCAAGCCACCCAGACAACAATACCTCACACCCCACTCACCGTTGGTGTCCCGCATTTCCTCCTCTCGCTGCTTCATGAAGGCGAAGTCTTTGACGATGGATTCGGAAAGGTCCTCCAGCCGGCGCAAGTCCACCTCGAGGGGCTTCAGCTTCTCAGCCTTCGCTATCTGTGGCAAATGGAAATAAGAGGGACAGGCTGAGCCAAAGAGCATAGATACGCAGGGGAAATGACTCAGTGAAGCTACCCCACTTCCAAGTCAGGCTAAACAATGGGCTATCTATGAAGAGGAGCAAGATCCAGAAGGGAAGGAAAGACCAATGCTGTCACTATCTCTGCATCCTCTATATGCCAGGAGGACTGGCACAACTTGGCATCTAAAGTCCAATTGCAAGAGGGCATCCAGAATAGTTATTTATTTATTTACAATATTTATATGCCACCCTTCTCACCCCAAAGGGGACTCAGAGTGGCTTACAAGATATATAGATAGACAGATAAATAATATTATTAGTATAGTATAATATTAGTATAATATATTACTATATTGTACTATATCATTATATTGTAATATTATTAGTAATATTACATATAATATAAATACATAGTTATAATATCATATTATTAGTAGTATATTGTATTACACTATAATATTATGTTTTACTTAGGTAAAGGTAAAGATTTCCCCTGACATTAAGACTACCTGGGACCCAACTTCGAGGAATGGTGCTCATCTCCATTTCTTAGCCGAAGAGCTGGCATTGTCCATAGACATCTCCAAGGTCATGTGGCCAGCATTACTGCACGGAGCGCCATTACCTTCCTGCAGAAGCGGTAGCTATATTGATCTATGCTTGTTTTCGAACTTCTAGGTTGGCAGAAGCTGAGGCTAACAGCGGGAGCTCACCCCGATCCCTGGATTCAACCTGCCAACCTTTTTGTCAGCAAGTTCAGCAGCTTAGCAGTTTAACACACGCCCTCTATGTTTTACTTACGTCTTCATAATTCCTGGCCTCCACACCATGCTTGATGTTGAGGGTGACCAGTTGGTCCGGGACCCGGAAGTTCCCTGGAGGAAACATAAACAAATAGTTAGTATGGGGATGGAAACAAGAGATGTTGGTAATGCCTTCCCAAATGTCAAGGTCTATTTTCCCCCAAACTCCACCAGTGTGCACATTTGGGCATATTGAGTATTCGTGCCAAGTTTGGTCCAGATCCATCCTAGCTTTACTCTCTGGATGTAGGTGAACTACAACTCCCAAACTCAGGGTCAGTGCCCACCAAACTCTTCCAGTATTTTCTGGTGATCATGGGAGTTCTGTGTGCCAAGTTTGGTTCAATTTCATTGTTGGTGGAGTTCAGAATACTCTTTGATTGTAGGTGAACTATAAATCCCAGCAACCACAACTCCTAAATGACAAAATCATAATTTTTTGAGTGATGGCCACTCCTTGTGTTTAGCCATGTATAAATATATGAGAGGAAGCCACAGGGAGGAGGGAGCAAGCTTGTTTTCTGCTTCCCTGGAGACTAGGACGCGGAACAATAGCTTCAAACTACAAGAGAGGAGATTCCATCTGAACATAAGGAAGAACTTCCTGACTGTGAGAGCCGTTCAGCAGTGGAACTCTCTGCCCCGGAGTGTGGTGGAGGCTCCTTCTTTGGAAGCTTTTAAACAGAGGCTGGATGGTCATCTGTCAGGGGTGATTTGAATGCAATATTCCTGCTTCTTGGCAGGGGGTTGGACTGGATGGCCCATGAGGTCTCTTCCAACTCTTTGATTCTATGATTCTATGAGACGTTTTGTTGCAAAACATGGTGTGATTTCGTTCATTGGTTCTTTTGTTTTTAAGGTACTCATTATGCACAGAGCATTTATATATAGATAGATTACATGTAATGTAAATATATAATTATAATATTGTATTATTCTTACTAATAATACAAAGATAATACAAATATAAAGATGACACAAGAATAAATACGACATTGACGTTTCTGCTCCTCACCTGGCTGCCCATGGCTCTCAAAGCAAATCTCGTAAATTTCATAATCGTCGGTTGTGAAGGCAAACTTCCCTTTCTTGGCATCGTCCTTGGAGTAAAGGATGTGACCGGAGGAGTCGGTGACCTGCAGAGAAACAAAAGGCAGCGACAGTCTGATCAGATCGATCCCAAAGAGAGAAACAACAAAGAAAGAATATCGCATTTACAAAGCCCAATTAAATGACATTTTTTGTTTATTAATTCAGTCGCTTCCGACTCTTTGTGACCTTGTGGACCTGCCCATACCAGACCTCTCTCTCGCCCGTTGCCACACCCAGCTCTTTCAAGGTCAAATCAGTCACTTCACATTACATGTATCTTAATTTGCTTTTAAATACTGTTGTTCAAAATGAATACTCCAGAGGTCAGGAGCAGAATTCAAAACGATCTTGACAGATTAGAGAGATGGGCCAAAACTAACAAAATGAAGTTCAACAGTGACAAATGCAATATACTCCACTTTGGCAGAAAAAACGAAATGCAAAGATACAGAATGGGGGATGCCTGGCTTTAGAGCAGGACGTGTGAAAAAGATCTTGGAGTCCTCGTGGACAGGAAGTTAAACATGAGTCAACAATGTGATGTGGCGGCAAAAAAAGCCAATGGGATTTTGGCCTGCATCAAGAGGAGCATAGTGTCTAGATCTAGGGAAGTCAACACTGACAATGAAATACAACACCGCCTGAGCTCTGTGAGTGCAGCATTCTTCTGAATGAAGCAGAGACTGTTTGAGGACCAGGACATCCGTAGGGAGGCCAAGGTGCTTGTTTATAAAGCTATTGTCCTCCCAACCCTGCTTTACGCCTGCAAAACGTGGACTGTCTACAGACATCACATGCAACTCCTGGAACGATTCCATCAGCGCTGCCCCCGGAAAAGCCTGCAAATCTCTTGGGAAAATAGGAAGACAAACGTCAGCGTGCTGGAAGGAGCAAAGACCACCAGCACTGAAGCGATGGTCCTCCGCCATCAACTCCGCTGGACCGGCCATGTTGTCCAGATGCCCAACCACCGTCTCCCAAAGCATTTGCTCTACTCTGAACTCAAGAACGGAAAATGGAATGTCGATGGGCAGGAAAAGAGATTGAAAGATGGTCTCAAAGCCAATCTGGGCCAAACTTGGTATGAATACTCCATATGCCCAAATATGAACACAGATGGAGTTTGGAGGAAATAGACCTTGACATTTGGGATTTGTAGTTACTGGGATTTATAGTTCACCTATCATCAAAGAGTGTTCTGAACCACCCAAATGATAGAAGTGGGGCAAACTTTCCACACAGAATCCCCATATTATAATACTATAATACACTATAATACACTCTCCCTCTATACTATTAAAATATACACAAACACGCACACAGTATATATTATATTGAGTATATTAGTGGCCTTTCGTAAGGGCCTGAAAACATGGCTCTTCGAGATGGCCTTCAATTGAGTGCTATGTTACTGGAATGACGACCGGAATGGATTACGACTAGGAGACTGATCATGACCCCATGTTACGACGAAGCGGATTTTTAGTATAGTAGTTATGTAGTAGTTGAGTGTTTGTATTGTTTGATTCACTGTAAACTGTCTTTTTCTATGTTATTGTACACCGCCACGAGTCGCCCTTCGGGGCTGAGAGCGGCGGTTAACAAATGCAAGAAATAAATAAATAAAATAAATAAATAAACTTGCCTTTGGTATAAAGTCCAGTCATGGCTGACTCTGGGGTGTGGTGCACATCTCCATTTCCAAGCCGAAGAGCCGGCATTGTCCATAGACACCTCCAAGGTCATGTGGCCAGCATGACTGCATGGATCGCCGTTACCTTCCCGCCGGAGCGGTACCTATTGATCTACTCACATTTGCATGTTTTCGAACTGCTAGGTTGGCAGAAGTTAGGGCTGATACTGGGGAATAGAGGGAGAAAATGTGGAGGCCGTGACAGACTTTGTATTTCTAGGTGCAAAGATGACTGCAGATGCAGACTGTGGCCAGGAAATCAGAAAACGCTTCCTTCTTGGGAGGAGAGCAATGTCCAATCTCGATAAAATAGTAAAGAGTAGAGACATCAGACTGGCAACAAAGATCCGCCTAGTCAAAGCCATGGTATTCCCTGTAGTCACCTACGGATGTGAGAGCTGGACCTTAGGGAAGGCTGAGCGAAGGAAGATCGATGCTTTTGAACTGTGGTGTTGGAGGAAAGTGCTGAGAGTGCCTTGGACTGCGAGAAGATCCAACCAGTCCATCCTCCAGGAAATAAAGCCCGGCTGCTCACTGGAGGGAAGATACTAGAGACAAAGTTGAAGTACTTTGGCCACATCATGAGGAGACAGGAAAGCCTGGAGAAGACAATGATGCTGGGGAAAGTGGAAGGCAAAAGGAAGAGGTATGTGTATATATGTATATGTATATATATGTGTGTGTGTGTGTGTTTGTGTATATGTATGTGTATATGTGTTTATGTATGTACTCTGTGTGTGTGTGTATGTGATATATATATATATATATATATATATATATAGAGAGAGAGAGAGAGAGAGAGAGGTATGTATGTGTGTATAGTATATATGTATGCAAATATAGTAAGAATAAAGTAACATTGATGGATAAAGATGGATGGATGGCATCCTTGAAGTGACTGGATTGATTGAAGGAGCTGGGGGTGGTGATGTCTGACAGGGAGCTCTGGCATGGGCTGGTCCATGAGGTCACCTAGAGAAGAGAATGATGCTGGGGGAAATGGAAGGAAAAAGGAAGAGGGGCCGACCAAGGGCAAGATGGATGGATGGCATCCTTGAAGTGACTGGCTTGACTCTGAAGGAGCTGGGGGTGGTGATGGCCAACAGGGAGCTCTGGCGTGGACTGGTCCACGAGGTCACCTAGAGAAGACAATGTTGCTGGGGAAAATGGAAGGAAAAAGGGAGAGGGCCGACCAAGGGCAAGATGGATGGATGGCATCCTTGAAGTGACTGGACTGACCTTGAAGGAGCTGGGGGTGGTGACGGCCGACAGGGAGCTCTGGCGTGGACTGACTGAACGAATGAACGAATGAACAAGTCGGAGACGACTGAACGAATGAACAAGAGGTTAACAGAATCTCCAGGAAAAGAACTCCAGGGAAGCCTTCCTACAGTCTTGGGAGTTTCCAGGAAGACAGCCTTAAACTCGAAAAAACTCCAGCTGGAGCAAATCCATTGCCTTTATTTATTTATTTATTTATTTATTTATTTAATGCACTTATATACCGCAATATCTCAGCCTGGAACGGCGACTCATTGCGGTTTAACAACAGATAAAAGCAATATACAGTTTTAAAACGACAGCATATAAAACAATTTAAAACATTTAAACAATGCAAATTATTGGGCCACCAATAATGACTTCATGCTTCTCATCACAAAAATCGCAGTCCCGATATCGTTATCCATAATTGACCAGTCCAATTTCTGGTAGGTCCTCTCAGTTCAGCCTGGCAGAGGAGCCCACACCAGTGAGGGTTGGATTTTAGTTAGTCTTGGGAGAAGTTAAAAAGGGGAATTTTCCTTTAAAGAAAGTTACAGAAGACAGTGCCTGTTCCTTGTGAACAAGTTTGAGAGAACTGATACCTTGAAAGCTTTACAATTCCTGTTTGATTCCTTAATAAAAGTCTTTGTTGTACCTTTTTAAGTCATCTGAAGATTCCTTTTGTAAGGAAAGCCTCTGAGAACTTTTCCTTAAGGCCCCTGACCTCCCGCTGGGTAAAGGTTACACATCCTATATCTAAAGTCAACTAATTATAGGCCCAGCGGCGACGGAACAATATATATATATGATTATAAAATTAATAAAATAAATATAATACATATAATATACACACAGTATTTATAATATGGAGTATGATATATATATATAGTCTATAATATGGAGTATAGTATTAGTGAGGCCTGTAACTCTGAAGCAACCAGGCACTCCCATTTATCCGGCATCCAACAGGATTCCTGGGTGCCGGTTAACTGGCTCCCTGCCCCCTTCTCCTGCTTCTCACCCGGAGGTCGGCCCTGACACCCGGCGCTGCGGCCTCGGAGACCTCGTACTCGCCGGTGACCATGACGTCTCGGTGGAGCTCCTCCTTGAGGCACTTCCGCGTCTGCGGCGGGAGATGGAAGGAGAGGCCCAGGCAGCCCCCGGCCCAGAGCAGGGCCAACAGCCCCGGCGCCCCCCACATCCCCCCTCCGAGGCCCCACACCGCCCTGCAACCGGGTCAATGGCGCCCAACGCGCTCCCTCAGGAAGATCCGACGTGGCGCTTCCGAGAGGCTCCCTCGACTAAGGGGCGGGGCTACAAAAACCGGAAGCAACGCCTCCTCCGGATGGGACGCCTCCAATAGGCTGAGGCGCTCAGAGAAGGGGGCGGGGTTAGAACGCGGGAAGCCACGCCTCCTCCGGCGGAATAATATCCAATCAGAGAGGCGCCAGGATTGAGGGGCGTGGCCAGAGAGTGGAAAGCTACGCCTCCTCTAAGACAGGCGCTCCGATGAAGGGGCGGGGTTAGAAAAGGGAAGCCACGCCTCCTCCTTCAAATAGACAGGCGTTTCGCAGAAGGGGCGTGGCTTAAAAGGGAAACCACGCCTCTACCTCAAATAGATAGGCGCTTCGACGAAGGGGCGGGGTTAGAAAAGGGAAGCCACGCCTCCTCCAAATAGGCTC